AGGAACATATGTTGTACCTGACCTTCGGTGATATATTATTCGTCTTCGTCCGTATGATGAAACGGCGATGTTATTATATTAACGAAATTAATAGGCCATTAAGAGTAGCGATTAAATTAGAGCCGTTGTAATTCTTATTTAATAGTTATATATTACGAATAGTATAGAAAGTCCGATGGAGAATATATCCTTTGCCTCGGATATATTCGAGATGTGAACCCATTGTAAGTCTGCGATAAAGTGTACTACGAAACACGGATCATAAGAGTCAACATAATCATTCGTCTAGCAATAGTAAAATCATTCGTGAAATCATTCGTCTAGAAAAAGGATTATTCTCTAAGATAGATAATTAGAAGTTAAGTGAGATATTAGAGGATAGAGATCAGAATAAAGTAATAAGGTTGGCTAAGTCGGTGGCCTCATCACTAAACATCGACACTACAGAGCCCTATTGTCACGGTGAGGGGACGCAGCCACCTCGCGAAGAAAACCGGTGACAACTTTGTTTCTTCAAAGTTCTACTTCAAAGTCATGTATCCGAAATTTCAGCGACAGATTTATCAAATTCTTCAGCAACCCCATTACTCGAATTAGCACAACTATTCGATACAGCAGCTGATGCCGAATATTATGCTATAAAAGCTAATCAAAAGGAAACTTTATGCTGGACTAATTATGGGAAAGAATTTATAATTCAGTATAATGATCTTGTGAAAAATAGTAATGGAAGAATTGGCGAGAAAAAAGCTAAAGGCGTAATTTATGATAAAATATTGGAACACCTTAATATTATCCGTGAAAGAAGGTCCAAGGAAATGGGATTACAGCTCCCAGAAGTTTCGCGTAAAACCTTATGCAAAAAGACCCAAAAGGCCGTAAGGACTTATAAATTATTTGAAAAAATAGGTATAGATAAAATTAAGTACCTTAAAGCATACAACGCAAATTCTATCTCAGAATTGACTAACGAACAAATTCAAAAGATTATTGATGATATTTCTAACACAGAAAAAATTTCAGAGGAAGAGACAACTATGTCCCATCAAATCACATGACTGAAATTTCGACGGCTTTTCGCCAAAATCAAGCAACCAAAATTTTACCTGGATCTAAGAAAACATTGCAAGAGGTAAGCTCCTCAACCACTCCCCCTATTCAATCATCTCGTATCTCTAATTCGGAAAATATAATAGATGAGGATAACAAATCTTTACCGGAAATGGTCCCAAAGAATTCAACTAAAGTGAGTACATTACCTGAAAAAGAAATTCTTATCAGAAATGAATCGGATATTGATGCTATTATTCTTATATTGCAACAAAACTTTGAAAAACTACCCAAAAAAATATTGGATAAATGGAGAGAAGGTATCGCCTTCGAATTCTGTGATAATACTAAATACTGGAAGAAAGAACGATAAAGTATGGGGGCCGAAGCAGATTTCTTAAAACACAAGAAAAACTTTGAGGCTAGAATGGGTGTTCCTACTACTCCACACAAAAAGGAATTAAAAAATGAATTATTCAATATTCGCTGAATATGTGTAAGAGAAGCTCACTAAGAATAAACGAATTCACCTCTCTTTTGTGCCGTTACGGACACAGTGCAAATTCTGGTAATAATCATTAAGATCGCCTGGTCTAATTTTCCTTTTACGTTCTTATAATATAGATGTAATGAAGATACGATAAAGGTGCGATGTAGACACGATAAACTTCTTTATATATAACCACTATGTCGCAATTTTTTATAATCGATATTAATATGTGGATGATGATCAACTACGTTTATTAATAGATGAAAGAAAAAACAAGATTCATAAACTTTTCTTACATTAGTGTCCATTAAAGCTCGTATTATGTTCTTGATTAATTCTGGTTGCGATGCTATTCCAAAATCCGATTCGATTCCTTCCAAAATTATGATATTCTTCATTTCTATTTCTACGCTCATTGATGAGGATACGTATTTGAATATCGGTCCATTCAACCATTTTTATTGCAGAGCAAGCCTTTAGGCAATTTTTCGAACTATAAGGCTTTGCCTCTACGATATTATCCCGACAAGCATATAAATTTTTATGTGACTATACAACTCGAGATTTATTGAAATGCCAGCAAGAATATCGAAATGAGCGGGCATTAGATGATTTTCGAAAGAAGAAATTGTCAATGAACTTGAGATAGTTGAAGATGATCTCAGCAAATAATTTTAAATTTAGAGCAACAAAATTTGGCATTATTAAATAACCAACTTTTGAATCGGAATATGGCAGAAGCAGGACGTTTACCCACATTAAAATATGTATCTACTCTGTTAAACCCGATTCCACAATATATAGCTAATAGGGCAAATGCCTCCGAATGACTATTGTGATATGATTATACAGGCTTGGGCACCCGCAGTACCAAATATGACGGCTCTTGAAAATGGAAATGCAGGAGATTTTGATGATGCTGTCAAAGTTGAAATTATGAAAGGTAAGAGGGCAGGAAAATATGCTCCTGTCCCAGCTCAAAATAATTTTGTAAATCCAGCAGTTAATATTAATAGTCCAGATACTTTAAGAGCATGGTTAAATGCTAAATATCAACGAGAAACGGCCAATCAGCTATTTTAAGATAAGATTCCAACCTTTTGATAATATCATTCGATTCGTTGAATAGCAATGTGGCATTTTCTAACAATTTTTCATCAATGTTATCTTCATTTAATTTTCTTTTTAATGTGTTTGAAGTATTTCTAACATTATAGTTATCCTTTTAAGTTATATTGTAAGAAAATTAATCAGATAATCCACACTAATAAGAGAATAAGAGTACAGAACTAGACTGAGCATGATACCTTGATGTTTTCTGGTAGTATATTCTGTTCTAGAGCTACAGTCATTTCTGATGAGTTTTTGGAATATTCGGACGGGCGGTCAATAACCTGTGGCTCTTCATCCGTATCCTTTAACTTCTCTCGTATACCCAGTCTTCTATCAATTCCTTTACCGTTTTCTTGTTGCACTCTATATCTAGCAACATCAGCAATACCCATTGAGATATGTTTTTCTCTAATTTGTTGAAGTAACATGAAATCATGTTCCTCACTAGCGAGGCGTTTTTCACGTTCTATTACTATTATCAAGTTCCAAAATGATGCAATTTCTTTGGACTGGCACAAGTTTTATCAACATATTATCTGCTGAACTTTGCAGAGGCAAGCTAGGAAGATTATTACTTACAGATAGATCTTTCTCGCATGGTCTCGAACGAATTGTGGTAAATCTTGGTTCTCACTCAACGACTCTAGATGTTTTACACATAGTCTGTAGACTTGCTCTCGCTCGGCAATCGTTAGAAATCAAGCCGGTTCAGAAAATCGATAATCTTGCACGTTACGAATGGGACTGACAAAAGGTATTTATGCATTCCCTCAGGTAAAAGGGGAAGTGAGAACTAGAACGATGACAATATAGAGATGATTATCTTCTTCCAGCAAATGATGTAACCACACAACAACAAATACACAGTGAACCTGGATATAACGAAGTTTGGATATAACGAAGTTTGGATATAACGAAAACCTGGATATAGCGATGCTTTTTTTTTTGATGTTTCGAATTTTGTCT